ATGTTAAAAAAAAAATTTAAGAAATACAGCTAGGTAGGTACATCAGAAGTAAGGGGGCAATAATGTTCACCAATGTGGCTCTCTCTCAAAAATAATTAAATCTTAAAAAAAGAAAGACAACTGTGTGCTCAGAATTCTACCTTATTTAATCCCTTACTTCAAAAGCATTAAATTAAATTTACCCCCATTTTCCTGGTGAGTAAGAGAAATAGATTACAAATGAAATGTTTTATGTTCTTGAATAGGTTCTAATTTAGGCCTTGGTCAGGAACCACCTTTGGGAAAATTATCTAGTAGGTAAAGTTTGTCTTCAGACTCCTAGTCCAGTCTCCAACCTGTCTATTAATGGAAAGAAAAATAACTCTGGAAAAAGAAGCTCTTTACATAATTTCTGCTAATATGTAAAAGATTAATAATATGTGAAAATTTCCCATATTCCTCCCCAACCAATGGTGTTTCTTTTTTTTTTAAGTTTATTTATTTATTTTGAGACAGAGAAAGAGACTGCGAGTAGGGGAGTGGCAGAGAGAAAGGGAGAAAGAATCCCAAGCAGTCTCTACGCTGTCGGCACAGAGCCTGGTATGGGACCTGAACCCATGAACTGTGAGATCATTACCTGAGCTAACATCAAGAGTCAGACACTTAACTGACTGAGCCACCCTGGTGCCCTGGTGTTTCTTTTTTAGTGGGGGAGTCAAGAAAAGTTTATGCCAAAGGAATTAATCTCTAATGTTATAACTTCAATTTCAAGCATCAGTTGCAGTTAGGCAAAGGGGAGAGACCACTCTGAGTAGAAAAATGAAGGGACTTTGGTGCTCCTCAGATCAAAGCGACTAGCCATCTATTCTAGGTGTAAGACTGGCATTTTTATGTTATAATCTAGGTCATTCCTCCTAAGCACAATGCCTACCCATCTCCAGTTCTAAAAAGTTTGATTTTCAACACCACATTAAAAGGATCATACACCATGATCAAGGGACATTTATCCCTGGGATGCAGGGATGGTTCAAAATACATAAATCAATAAATGTGACACACTACATTAATGATAAAAATGAATGAATGATAAAAATCACATGATCATCTCAATAGATTCAAAAAAGTCATTTGACAAAATTCAAAATCCTTTAATGACTAAAAACTCTCAACAAACTAGGTGTAGAAGGAATGTACTCAATATGATAAAGGCCATATATGACAAGCCCACAGCTAACAACAGACACAATCGTAAAAAACTGAAAGCTTTCCCTCTAAGATCAGGAACAAGACAGTGATGCCTGTCTTCACCCCTCCTATCCAACATAGTACTGGAACTCCTAGCCAGAGAGGTCAGGCAAGAAAAAGAAATAAAAGGCATCCAAATTGGAAAAGAAGAATTAAAATTATGTTGGCTTCGAGATTGTCTGACCTTATACGTAGAAAACTTATAAAGACTTATAAAGACTACACACACACACACACACACACACACACACTAGAACTGATTAGCAAACTTAATAAAGTTGCAGGAAAAAAATCAACATACAAAAATCAGTTGTATTTCTATATACTAATGATGAAATTAAGAAAATCCCATTTACAAAGCATCAAAAATAAAATACTTAGGAACAAATTTAACCAAAGAGGCAAAAGACTCATACACTGAAAGCCACAAAATTCCAATGAAAGAAAATAAGAAGACACAAATAAATGGAAAGACATCCCCAGCTCATGGATTTAAAGACTTAATATTGTCAAAATGTCCATCATGCTACCTGAAGAAATCTGTAGATTTGGTATTATCCTCATCAAAATCCCAATGGCATTTTTTTTTACAGAAATAAAAAAAAAATACCTGAAATTCATATGGAACCACAGAAGACCTTGAATAGACAAACATCCCTGAGGAAGAAGGACAAGCTGGAGGTATCATACTTCCTGGTATCAAAGTATATCACAAAGCTACAGTAATCAAAAACACTCTGGTACTGGCATTAGAACAGACATATAAACCAATGGAACAGAATAAAGGACATAGAAATAAACACACACACCTACAGTCAACTGATCTTCAACAAGGGAGCCAAGAATACACAGTGGGGAAAAGACAGTCTCATCAAAAAATGGTGCTGGGAAAACTGGACATCCACAAGAAAAAGGATGAAATTGGACCTTTATCTTACACTATAAACAAAAATTAACTCAAAATGGATCAAAGATCTAAATGGGTAAGAGCTAAGACTATAAAATTCCTAGAAGACAATAGGGAAAAATCTTCTTGGCATTAGTCTTGGCAATGATTTCTTGGATACAACACCAAAAATGTAATCAACGAGGCAAAAATAAACAAATGGGACTACATCAAACTAAAAAGCTCTGCAAGGCAAAAGAAACAATCAACAGAGTGAAAAGACACCCTGCAGAATGGGAGAAAATATTTCCAAGCCCTACATGAGGTAAGGGGTTAATATTCAAAATATATATGAAAATTCTACAACTCGGGCACCTGGGTGTCTCGGTTGAACATCTGACTTTGGCTCAGGACATGATCTCATGGTTTGTGGGTTTGAGCCCCACGTTGAGCTCTTTGCTGACAGCTCAGAGCCTGGAGCCTGCTACAGATTCTGTGTCTCCCTCTCTATCTCTGTTCCTCCCCTGCTCATGCTCTGTCTCCTCTCAAAAATAAACATTAAAAAAATAAACATTAAGAAAAAGAAATTTCTACAACTCCATAGCAATAAAAAAAAAACCCAATTAAAAAATTGGCAAAGGACTTGAATAGATGTTTCTCTGGGGAAGACATACAAATGGCCAGTAAGTATAAGAAAAAGTGCTCAACATCAGTAATTGTCAGGGAAACACAACTCAAAACCACAGTGGGATAGCACCTCACACCTCTTAGGATGGCTATTATCAAAAAACAAAAAGAAATCAAGTGTTGGCAAGGATGTAGAGAAACCGGAAACTTTTGCACACTGTTGGTGGGAATGTAAAATGATACAATAGTTGTGAAAAATAGTGTGGATATTCCTCAAAGTATTCAAAGTAGAATTACCATATAATCCAGTAATCCAACTTCTGGGTATATATCCAAAAGAACTGGAATCAGCATCTCAAAGAGATGTGTGCACATTTATGTGTTTTTGTTGAAGTTTTTATTTTAATTCCAGTTAGTTAACATACAGCTTTTGTGTTAGTTTCAGGTGTACAATTTAGTGATTCAACACTTCCATACACCACCCTGTGCTCATCATGACAAGTGCCCTTTTTAATCCCCATCACCTACTTCACCCCCCCCCCCCCCCCCGGGTACCTCAGTTTGTGTTCTCTCTCTCTCTCTCTCTCTCTCTCTCTCTGTCTCTCTCTCTCATTTTTCCCTTTGCTTGTGTGCACGTTTACGTTTATTGCAGCACTATTCACAATAGCCAAGATAAGAAAACAACCCAAACGTACACTGATGGATGAATGGATAAAGAAAATATGGTACATACATCAAATAGAATAGTATTAAGCCTTAAAAAGAAGGAAACCCTGCCATAGGCAACAACATGGATGAACCTGGAGGACATTATGCAAAGTGAAATAAGCCAGTCACAGAAGGACAAATACTGCACCATTCCACTTAAACGAGATGTCTAAAATAGCCAAACTCACAGAAGCAGAGAGAATAGTGGTTGCCAAGGGCTATGGAGAGGAAATGGGAAGTTGTTCAATGGGTTTCAGTCAAGCAAGTTTCAGTCAAGCAAGATGACTAGATTCTAGAGATCTGCTGTACAACATAGTGCAGATAGTTAACAATGCTGTATTGTGCACTCAAACATTTGTTGAGGGTAGACATCGTGTTGAGTCTTCCTACCACAATAAAAAAATAAATAAATAAAAATTGTGCTGTTTAAAATAACATTTTCCAAGTTAACACATTTATAACATGGGTTTTTCCTCAAGTCACATACTTTCTAACACATGACTTTTTGTTCTCGGTTTGCTGACAGTTTGTCCCTCCATTTTTTTCTGGGCTCTATTTCATGCATTGGGTGGTATTTCCAATTCTGGTAGGACTCCCTGTAGAACCAGAAAGTTCTATATCGCTCTAGGATTTAGTCATGTTCCTGATCCCAAGATTTTGCAGAAGGAAACTTATTGTTTAAAAAAAATAGGAAACAGAGAAGAAAGGAAGACAGAGAAAGAAGACAGAGAAAAAAGGAAGAATGGAAGGAAGGGAGGGTATGAGGAAGGAAGGGAGGAAGGAAGGAAGGGAGGAAGGAAGGGAGGAAGGAGAGAGATGCCCTGTGCATTCACCTGCTGATTTGAACTTAAAATTATAAAGCTCTTTGTAAAAGACACTGTTTTCAAAACCAGCAGGCTGAAGCCTCCCCTGGGGCTAATGGGAAATGTGGACTTAAGTAAAAGCTTGGAGGTACGAAAATTTGGAGATAGCATACTACTGACCCACAGCTCTTCCGGGGCTGTTGCCTAGGTAACGCAGATTCAACACCCGCATGGAATCAGGCTTCCATGGAAAGTAGCTAGAGCATAGGGATACATCATTTCATTTCAGGTGGCTTTCAAAATCTGGTGGGAAAGCTGATTTCACAAAGCTGTTCTTTAAACATATACAAAGAAAGACTATGAAAAATAGCTCTGAGGAAAATGCTTCCTCAGCCTAGCCTGTCGAGCCGAGGACTTCTATGGATGATTGATCTTTACCGTGACAGCCTGAATCAGGTTAACAGCTCGTGTAAGATAACATCAGGAAGAAATAAAAAAGAATCATGAGTGAATCTAAATGAAACCTTGAGTGAGAACCTTTGAGCCCAAATCTTGATTTAAAGTGCTGAAAGTTCTTCCCCCCTTTCTTTCCTTCTTTCTTTTTCTCTTTTATTCTTTCTTTTGCTTCATTTATTTTTATAACATATTGCAGTAAAACTGATATATCTCAGTCAAAAGTCTGAGCTCCCACATGGGCTGTGTTTCTTCCCCATTATGGTTTTTCTAATAAACAAGAGCTGTCAACTACTCACCATGTAAGTCACCGCTCCAATGTCTTCAATTTCCCTTCTGCGCATGCAAATCTCTGGCATGGCTACCCAGTGTGTTCATTTCAGTGCATCCTCTGTTCGCTCATAATCCTGCCAAGGACTCCAGGCTGTTGATAAATTCCATTAATGGGGTAAATAATTGAGAGGGGTAGTAAACCTTCTTGTAAATCACTCTTCAGCATCCCCAGACCAAGACCGGGATTAGGATTTAGACAGACACTTCTAATCCTTTAAATTGATCCCACCTGTAGCAGAGTTAGTGCTGACCTAAATCCATTGACCCAGAGATTAACAAACAATTAGAGTCCTCTAGATAAACTCATTCTCCACGGACTACTGCCTTTTCTGCCTTTCAAAATGAGATTTACGTACCCTCGGATTTGCCTGTTTTCTTCCTTTTTCCCTTCTGTGGAATAGCCACACGTCGCCCCTTCTCCAGGACAGCTTAAATGCCAGAACATTCATCAGCTGTAATTTCAGCCCAGGATATGAAAGATGATCCAGGCAGGCTCCCTGAAAAATTCAAAGTAGGTGAAGTTTGTCTCCTTCTAGTTCCTTCAAATGTCTTCATGCCTTTCCTTCCAATTTACCCCATACCTCGGCGAACTTCCCATACTTTAGATCTATCCTTTCTTCCTGAGCATTCCTTCTGTTGAGGGTACCATTCATTCAGGGCCTGTTCTAGATTCCTAAGGCAAGAGCTGAGGGATTGGTAGCTGAAAACTACTTGTATTAAATTAGGGCTGCTATATGGCAGACACCTTATTTTTTTTAATGTTTATTTATTTATTTTGAGAGAGAGGGAGAAAGAGAGAGAGCAGGGGAGGGGCAGAGAGAGTGGGAGAGAGAGAGAGAATCCCAAGCAGGCTCTGCGCTGTCACTGCAGAGCCCGATGTGGGATTCAAACTCACAAGCCATGAGATCATGACCTGAGCTGAAATCAAGAGTCTGATGCTTAACCGACTGAGTCACACAGGCATCCTGCAAACATTAAAAAAATAAAAGTAATAGCTTAATTGAGATGTAATTCACATACCACAAAATTTACTCTTTTAAAGTATACCATTCAGTGTTGTAAAATATATTCACAAGGCTGTAGAACTGTCACCAACTATCCAGTTCCAGAACATTTTTATTACGCCCACAAAGAAATCCTGTAACCATTCTCCCCTCCCCACAGCTACTTGGCATCCACTGATCTAATTTTTGTCTCTATGAATTTGTCTATTATGGGCATTTTATATAAATGTAAACACAATATGTGGTCATTTATCACTGGTTTCTTTCACTTAGCATGTTTTTTTAATGTTTATTCAATTTTGAGAGACAGAGAGAGAGTGAGAATTGGGGAGGGGCTGAGAGGGACACACACAGAATCCAAAGCAGGCTCCAGGCTCTGAGCTGTCAGCACAGAGCCTGACTGGGGCTCAAACCCACGGACCACGATATCATGACCTGAGCCGAAGTCGGATGCTTAACCGGCTGAGCCACCCAGGCCCCCCTCACTTATAGTATGTTTTCAAGGGTCATGTGTGTTGCAGCACGTGTCAGTACACCATTCCTTTTTATGGCTGAATAATATTCCATTTTATGGGATACACCACTTTTTTTCATTTGTTTCTCAATGGATGGACATCTGGGTGGTTTGCACTTTTCATCTATTATGGATAATGCTTCTGTGAACATTGTGTATACATTTTTGTGCAGGCATATGTTTTCAATTCTCCTAGGTATCTGCCTAAAACTGGAATTGCTAGGTTATATGATAACTCTGTTGAACTTTTTGATGAACTACCAAACTGTTTGCTAAAGAGGCTGTATCATCCTACACTCCCACTGGCAATATACGTGAGGGTTCTTCGTTCTCCACGTCCTTGCCAACATTCACTGTTTTCTTTTCTTTATTTTTTAGTATGGTAGGCATTTTTACATGTATATCACCTCATTTTCTGTTCACAACAACCATGAAGATAGATATAATTTTCCCCATTTTGTAAATGAGGATACCAAGACCCAGATAAATAAGGCAATGATATTTATTGAATGCTGATGATGTGACAGGCATTCTTAGAAACCCTATCTCCTTTAATCTGCACAATGATCCCATGAGGTGGATGCTATGTGAATTCCAGATGTGCAGAGAGGTTAAAGTAACTTACCTATAGTCACATAGCCACCAATCAGTGGAGCCAGTATTTAAGCCCAGACAGTCTGATTCGGGGTCCGTGGTGCAGTCATAATTCAAACCCAAGGCCATTTGGCTCCAACGAAGCCCATGCTTATCCTTGCTACATTCCACTAATGCAGCTCTTATACTAATTCTCCAAGGCTGCTTGCTCTTTAGCAAGGGCTCCAGGAAAACAAGGTGACCACCCAAAGTAAATAATCCCTAATTGTAGAATTTGGGGTGACCTGATCAAAAATGTTCATGGAAGTGAGGGGCCGTCTAGCCTTCTTCATCTATCAGTGCCATGAATAGCCCCCAGAAGACACTCCACAGGAGAGAGTTCTGATGGGGATCCAGATGTTCAAGGAACCATCATTCAAGGAATGCTCCCAAATCCTGAACAGACATGAAATTCCAAATTCACAGGTAGAAGTAGCTGTGAATTCGCACATAAAAAATTTCTGAAGTGATTTTTGTAAAATTAAGAGTTCCATCAACACTTGTGTCTCTCTGTAAATATTAATAGCTAACACCTAGTGAGCGTTCACTGTGTGCTAGGCAATGCTCTATGCACTCTACATATACTAAATAATTGAATCATTACAATAGTCCCGTAGGGTTCGTATTATTATCATTCATGTTTTATAGATGAGGAAACTGGAACACAGAGAGTTCAAGTAACTTTCCAAGGACACACAGCTAGTATGTGGTGAAGCCAGACTGTGAAAAAAAAAAAAAAAATAAGTGGTTTAGATTTAGAGTCAATACCCTTAACCACTGCCTCATAAAAGAAATCACAGGGTGGGCCCATTGGGTTTAGCTATAGGCTCAAAAATACCCATTGGATCTCTAGACTTCAGTGACAGTATAATTAATGACAATTTTAGAACAACTGCTTGGGTTCCTTGTGAGTCTAAAAATATGCAATAACTCCAAATGCATGAGTACAATCAGGGATCATTCCTACAGAACTTTTAAAACCACTGTGTCAGAAACCTCAGGTACACTGTCTGGTTACATACTGCCCCATGGGGGGTCTTGTTGACCTAAAGCACCAGAATGTTAATAGGATCCTACTGGATTTTATGGAAACATATCCGTTCCTGTTCTACATTTCCAATATTGAAGCCTAACAATTTACAGAATTCAGTTATCTCTGAATGATCTTCCTAAGAAGCCATGGAATGAAAGCATCCAAATGACACACTCTCTTGCTCCACAAGATTAATTGTGAAATCAGACACATCTCTCTAGTTTCCCTCTTAACTTTAGTTGCAGAGACAAAAACACAGTCCCTTCACATTTAATGGGTTATTTATTTTTTTTTACTGCTAAACACTACAAGGAACCCCCAATTATATACAACATGGGAAAGTGGCTTTCTGGGGCATTAGCCTGGGATCTATGTATTCCTTTTGAGACTGAGACACAAATTGAATAGCTCTGCAGGGCTGGGGCATGGACTATAAAAAAAATAGGTCCAGAATGATGTATTCCTAGTTAATCATCCAGAACAAGGCTTGGACAAGTAGCTCCTTGCAGTCAGGAAGTCACGTGAGAACCAGGGGAGCAAGGGAGGTGGGGGAAGACGAATGACAGTAGGAGAAGGAAAACTACAAGAAAGGATGTTAGACAAATGTCCACACTTTGCCACAAGGGCTTCCGTGTCACATATAACCCCCCTGGGGATAAGGAGGAAAACAAAAGCTGTGAGGTCTACATGCCAATCATGGTGTACCAGCATGAAAGGCACCTCTCATGTCAATCGTCACAAAAAACTATGATGCATGTAATAGTATTTTCCTCATTTTAGATAAACGAGGCTTAGGCAGAGTCGGTAACCTGCCCAGGCCAGATTCAAAGTCGGATCTGCATGATTCCAGTGAAGGCTCTGAACTGCAATCCTCAACCTCTCTTTAAAATGTTGCATATAAACCCTACCCCACTGAAAGTTCTTTGGTGAATTCAACAGTAATAACAAATTTTTCTCTCTGCTTATGGCGCTCAACAAAATACGTATATATTGGTTCTTAAAAGAAAGATAATTGGGGATAGGAAGCGATATAATAATTGCCAATTATTTCCTCTCAAGTGGAGCTATCAGTATTTTTTTTTTCATTTATTTCTCATAACACCCCTAAACGGTGAGGACGATTCTTACTCTCACTTTAGGTGTGGAGAAAAAGATAACATCCAGAGAGGTTATAGAACTTGGGCAAGTTCACACAGCTAGTAAATGGTGGAGTCAGGGATCAAATTTAGGCAGCATGGTGCCAGGGCTCAGAGCTTCATAACTTCGCTATATTATTGCTTCAGAGTGCAAAGAAGCTATTTGAGAGTATTTAGTTTATCGATAGATTTATCTATAGATTTATTATGGCAGTTTTGAGGGGAGAGGTGGAACCTTGACCCAACTTTCTGCCACATTCAGCCCAGAAAACTTGACCAGAACAAAGCCCAGTGCTGCCCTCTAGTAGTCACTTCCAGAATTGAAATTACATTAATTTAACGACTACTTCTGTAATGATCCCTTGTAGCCACGGGATGTCACTATTATACAAGCATTCGCAAACCCCAATTTTTAAAAAGTTAATGTTACACGACTTTTGTAAAAATATTTTTAGAAAATGCCAAACAGTAAAAGTCAGAAAAAATATTTTATTTTCAACGAACACTGTGTTATTTCTAACATTGTAATTAAGCCATGTCAACAATTTTGTAAGCTTTTTTTGTTTTGTTTTGTTTTCATTTCTGTTTTTACTTTGATGCTATAACATATGTCTGTCAGGGCTCAGGGCTCAATCCTAAGGGCTCAGGATTTGGAGTCAAAACCAAAGCCTACAAACAAACTCCAGCTCCACCCTTCCCAGACATGTGACCTTGGGCCAGTTGCTTAAGTTTGCTGACACCTAAGTTTCTTCTTATATATAAAAAAAATTATAATAAGCAGAACTAACCCTGTCCTGTTGTAGGGATTAAAGAAGTTGGTGCAGGGCACCTTGATGGCTTAGTAGGTAAAGATGTGACTCTCAATCTTGGGT